GGAAACAATCCACTAAATGAAAAATATGCAACCATAGCAATACCTTTGATCAAACTCGCTCATAGTTTTAACTCCTAAGGGCATTTTGATCACGCCCAAGCGAAAGGTGAAAAAAAACATTTAATTCTGACAGCAACCTAGTGCCCAGGACTTTTCCCTTAGAGATTCCCAATCTCTAAGGAAAAGCACTGGGAACAAGTTGCTGTCAACCGTCAAGATCGGAAAACTTTAATCGTCAACCGTCAAGCTGCTCCTCTCCCCACCCATTGAGGCCCTCTTTTAAAGGTTTCCAAAAAAGATTCGTAGAGAAACTGCAGTGTTTAGATGTGCGTACGTTTCGTATAACTGTCTTGTTTACAGTAGACAGTACTCAGTTCAATTCAGCAACGCCATTTATTTGTAGCTGAAACTTTAAGGACAGCAATCTATAATTGAGTACGCTAAGCGACACTGTCGTACTTATCTTTGCATACAATGTACAAGAACAAGGCAAGCTCAGATCAAGGCAAAACTACAAGTTTATTAAATTCTTAATTCATAAATTTTCTTATGTAATTGACAATGCTATATTTTTAGATCTTTTATTGTAAATAATCATTTTAATTTTATTGTACTTATTACATTATAACTAGTTTGTATTTTCTTTTGTTTACTTGTTTATTAATTAATGTACGTTAATGTTATTTTGAGAGTGGATTTCCGCGAAGTAGCTTTTCAGCTAAGCGGAGTTGGCACGATAAATAAAGAATTACATTTCATTACCTTACATTACATACAAGTATCACAAGAGATCTCGAGATCCTCCATGGATATCATTCTTTTTATAAGAAGCTATCATATACAAGTTGTGTTTCATATCTAATACATCTACAGCAAGATAGATATTAACTATTTCGTGCGCTAATTTACAGCTGCTATTTCCATGATGATTTTGGTTATGGATATGATCAATTTGCTTGAAGCTACTTTTGCTGCTTTGTACGTACTATCAGCAATATTTCGAACTAAGAAATTAGGCACACTTCTATATTTAGCTAATTTCAAATTAGTGCTCCATGAATTGTTTCACGGAGCTTACATGCATGTTGCATACAGCCTCTAGTACTTTAACCTATTTTGGGCATGGGAAAAGTCAATTTG